CAGCAGGAAATTGAAAGGTGGCAGATTATTTACAGGGTACTTTGCCATATCAGGCCTTCTGTTCATATCTGCAGGCTTTCTCATCGAGGTGGGTATGTCTGCTCTGCCTCAGCACCATATAGAGATAACTGAAGCCATCTTATCATTGCAGCATGGAAGTAAGCGTAACCTAATTCATTCTGCGTGTTTAAAGTTTGCTTGGATATTTCTACACGCTCATGGTTTATATACAGTTAAGAGCCTTGAGTAACATTACATGAACCTTATTCTCCATCAGTGCCATATACAAAACCCTTTTACCCAAGTGTGGAAGTGGTTAACCTGGGCTAAGTGATATAGTTGGGGATATAGGTTAAAGCTAGGACTCCAGTTTCACTTGGGCTGGTAAACCCCAGACATCCTTTGCATTGAAGATGCAGGCTTAATTACTTGAGGGCTGACAGCCTTCCAGTGCCTTCTCATAATCCCCCTCACCATGTCTCTTGAAGGACAGACAAGATCTCCCATAATTCACAAGGTAATAATACTCAAGCAGCTTAGTTTACTGCCATGTAAAGAGCTATGGATAACTCTTCTAAAAGCCTAGCACTGTTTACAGATGAATACTTACCAGAGAGAACTCAGATTTGGGTACAAGTTTGCGTTGTGTCTTGTTCTTGCCTACATCTGGGTCTCAGTCACCAAGGCTAGCACTGCAGCGAAGACAGAGCAATAGAAAGAAAGGAACTGGTTGTAGAAACTGAGACAGAGTACAGCAGCAACAGTGGACTTTTTCATGCTTTCTGACATGGGGGAAAAAAACTACATTAAAATACCCCATGAGGCTGCAGTGCACGTAAATCAGAAAATGCCATGAATAAAATTGCTTCTGAACATGTTCACTGTGAACCTTTTCTTTTCCTCTCCTGGAGACTTGTCTGTCTTCTTTTTTTTTGAATGTAGCTAATGAAAGTATAAAGAGAAACCAGCAATATTCTAATAATATAAAATTCTTAATCTGTCTGTCTGTCCATAGTGCTTTATTTGCGCTCTGACTGGCTGAATGAAACAGCCAGAGTGCAAATAATCATTCAGACAGGAGGTGGGGGTGCAGCAGAGTGCTGGCATGATGGCAGGGAGGGTGGGACCAGGAGGGAAGCGGGGAGCAGGCCCGGACAGGGGGCGGCATGGGGCTCTGTCTGCGCCCACTCTCCCGCCCCCCGCATCATTCTTGATGGGCAATTGGCTAGTCTAATATAATAAAAGCCTTTGTCTGTCTGTCTGTCTGTCATTGGCCTATTTGGTTAAAAAGACCCATGGGCCTAGCCCACTAAAAACATGTGGGCCGCCACTGCTGGGTGGCTGAGGTTCTGTCTGTCATTGGAGCACTGCCATGACAGTGGGGACTGAGGGGCTGGAGCAGGGGGGCGAGGCCCACCGACCCTGCTCCTTGGAGGCCTTGTCACTGCATCCAAGGGGTGCCCCCCACCCCCGGCAGACAGAGGGGGGGCCAGCTGTTTTGAAATGGGAGTGCCACCATGATGTGGGGACTGAGAGACTGGGGCAGTGCTGGCCTTGCCTCCCTCCCCCCAGGCCCTGCTCCTTGGAGGCAGCAGTGGCACAGGGTGCTGGTGGTGCAGTGCCAGCAGTGGCGCAGGGTGGAGTGGTGGGGGGGGGGAAGCCCATGGGGCCAGAGGTGTAGCAGCAGGACCACAGGGCGCTGGGTGGAGGTGCTCTGTCCTTACCCGCCTCCCTCTCCTGTCATTCATGCCGGGGCAATTTGCTAGTTTGATAGAATTTTGCCCTTACATTGTTATTTATTTCTCACGTATTGGTATAAATCATTTAACCATGGTAACTCAAATGAAGCTAAACACAGTTTGTCCTTGACAAAACTGGACAAACATCATTATTGCCATTATCTGCATATGTTTAGCTCCAGCCACAGGATGGTTTTGTAGTCTAGAATGACACATCCTCAGGCCTTCACTTGTAACTGAATTCTAGGTTTGTTTCTGTCAGATGGTCTATTCCATTGGTTCTCAACCTTTTTTGTTCAAGGACTCATTTGTAAACATCCATGGCCAGGCGTGACACAATGCCCCTCATTCACAGGGCATTTTAAGGCCCGTGATTTCCATCTCTACTCTGTGAGGGAACTGACATCTCTAGAAGTAACTTAAGTTCTATCTTTGATACTGCGACACGTTCCCCAAGGGGGTGCACTGCTCCTGGAAGCACTGCTATACCAGGCCAATGCATGGAGGCAATGGAGCAAGTTCCAATTCTACCTCCCAGGACCAAAAATCCACTGAATGCAGAGTCCTCCATGTGGGTACTTACCTTGAGAAATGGATAATTCATTCTTTTCTTTTTCTGTATATGCTGCTGTTTCAGGATCCTCTTGGGATGGCTGCATAATGATTTATGTTTTGTTTTGGGTTACAACTGAGTCAAAGATGAAAGGAACATCTTTTTACCGCCAGCCTTAGGAGTTTCTGTTTTCTTGACTGACATTCTTACACGCTAATTGTAATACTCTGAGTCAGATCGATAGATGCACCTGAAGCAATTTTTCATTTTTGAGACCCAAATTAGTGACAATATTACTTGCTATATTAAAGAGAAATTACTGATAGTAGATGGCCTCTCTGTCACTGAATTACTAAAGTGGAAAGAAGTCTATTTTTTGATCAGTGGCAAAAATTGTAGATCTCTATAGCTGATTATATGTTTAGGATGAAGATGTTCATACAGAAGAAACTTATTCAAAACTACAGTAGTCCCTTGTACCTTTGAGTAGTTGAAGGGTTACTGCTAAAATCATGTATGCGTCTAAGGAATGGTGGCTGAGTTTACAAGAATGTTTATGAAGGAATTGGGTGGATTTGCCATAGTGCCACAGTTCAGGAGTGATGTTAATGTCAGTTAGGGTGTCCTGTGAATTACCAGTCATCTAGCTGCAGTGGTACCTAATCTTTGTCAAAGGCAATGTCCTTACAAACTTCAGGACAAATCCCAATTCTGGATGCATGTACATAGCTCCCAATGCATCTAGTGTCTGTGTCCTGAAACCCTTGCTTTTTTCCCCCCATTGACTTCAATGGGAATGTGTCTGAGGAATGACAGTAAATAAATGAATGAGGGGACCTGGATCTGATCTTGCATGAAAAATCATCTCAGCCTATAATCATTTAAGTTTTATAATTATTAGTTAATACATCCCAGAGGTCGGTGGTTGAAGACTGTAATTGCATATATGGTGTGTGTGGTGATGGAAGGGAATTTTATATATGAATAAAAAGCTGCTGATTAGAGAAATGTTGTTTGTGTAATGCTAACATGGATTCCAATAAGCTATATTATAAGTAATTATCAGTGGGAGGTGACTTGTTTATTTAGACCAGTGATTCTCAACCAGGATACCATGGCACTGTGGGGTGCATTGAGATCCTTACAAGGGTGTTGTGGGGTGTCATGCAATCTTAGAACTGTTAGTTTTGCAAATGTGATTCACAAGAGAAACCCAGAGATTCCAAATAGGAATCCAGTGTTAGAAACATTCTAACCTGTTGCAGCCTTTGAGTTCTTTGCAACAGAAAAATTGCTTTATTTTCTCTCTGTAGTCAAAAATTGAGTGCAAACTAAGAGCTGACATTGTCCAAGTCTTCCTTGAATCTATTGTGGGGTGCCTTTAATCTACCAAGGTTGAGACCCATGGTCTTAGATTATGGGACTAGAACACAGGTTCTAATCTTTATGATCTATCTGTGATAGCATACTGTGATGCTATTTAAATAACAACAGCTGTCTTGTAGCTGCAATTATAAAGAAAGTTTCAGATGTATTGTTACATTTTAACCCCTTAAATACTTCTAGATGTCTGTATTATGCAACTGAGGGTGTGGAGCCACATAATAATTGAACCATTTCCAAATGTTACCAATTGGGAACCAGTTCATAATTGTCATGGGTGAGAAGTGCCCACATGTACAGTACCATAGGGTTCCAGTTAAAACAGGCATCTGTTTTAGGTGTTGAAGTACTGTGGGTCCAACACCAGGGGATGGGAATGAGCAGCCAGTCGAACATACCTTGCAGTGGGCAAGTTGTGGAGGGTGTGTGCACCTACCCTTTTGGGGGGCCATAGCGGGTGGGTGTGGGTGACCTATGGCCGGGGACATGCTTACATTTGTGCTTTCCCTTCTCTCTCAAACACGATTTCTATTAATGTTTATTAGCTTGTACTTAACCAAACTTTTCAGTGTGCTTGCCTGACTTGGGATGCCCAGGAGTGGGGGAGTACTTGGACTAAAGTTTTTGGGCTCCCAGGGGCTGGGGCTGGGGCGAGGGAGGGCAGCACAATGAGAGGCTGCAGTTGAGTAGAGAATGAAGATACAGCTGGTTGTTCCAAACATAATTTATTGACCAAGCCATGCAAGGCAGATCATGGATTAAAAAAAAAAAGAAAAAAGTGCCAACAAAAGGGACAGTAGAGTTCTGGCCATGTACTAAAGTGGCCACTTATGGCAGTGGAGGAGAGAGGTGTGTGTGGGGAGGAGTGATCCAGTGTGGGATGCCTGAAAGATTGACCAGACCAGTGTTATGGAGTGCTTGGTGTCCACATGTAATGTTGGCTTGGTTCACGGTGAACCAGTTCAAAGAAATAACTGATTTTTGAGGT